AATTTCTTCTCACTTTTATGAGATTCTTAATGTGGGCCTTTAATGAACTCCAAAAACTCAACCACAACTCTGAAATTAAAATACTAGTCTCCTGTCAGTGTGACGCGACAGAGTAAAACTTGAATAGTATCATTCTTCTGTCAATTTATTTCTGTCATGATTTTTCTTTATACCCTGCCACATTATGCCCACTAGTTTAATTCCATTTTTATGTGACTTGTTAATGTGAATTTTAGGTGGCTTTTAATCACCTCCAAATTTGTAGAATATCACAATAAATCATAACTGTATCCCCTCTTATGACAATTTATTTCTGTCATTATTTTTTATTTCTCCTTCCTTATTACAACTCCTAGTTTCATCTCCTCCTCTGTGACCTTTACATTGTTGCATTTTAAAAGGAAGCACATTGAAAGTTTGCTCTTTCACAGTAACAAAAAGATAAGACATTTTATGGTGTTTCTATTTAGCTTGGTTTGGTGGGTACAGGTGTTTATTTAGAGCCTGGTCCTACTACGAGCCTCCAACGATACATTCACTGAAATGGTAGCAAGGATTTGGAAAAGAGACAATATTAGCTAAAGAGATACAGATATTTCATGGAAATTTTAAAAAGGCCTAAATATTCAGAGAAGTGTGCCAGACATAAAAATACTACAGCAATCTCAGAATCCTAAAAAAATAAGAACTCCCTTTAAGAAATATCTTTTAAATAAATTGCATTTCATTAAAGTTACTGATTAGGGACTACCTAATTCATCTCTTTAATGAAAAGGTATCATTAATTAACATTGGTGAGTACTGGTTCTGATGATTTTTGAACATATTTGTGTGTATTTTATATTTTTCATAACCCTTTATTTCTATTACAATATGATTCTATAAAGAAAACTTGTGTGAGGTATCAATAAACAATGTACTCTAAACCAGTTATTTGTAGCCTCCCACAAGCCTAAGTTTTTTACCTCAGATAGCTACAAATCAAAATTTCAGCCTGGTTGAGTTGGAGATAGAATAATCCCTACCCAGTCTTTTGAGATGCCACATATAATATTTGTAAATGATAAAAAAGGAAGTGAGGGGGAGGATTTTTCTTGGTTAGATGATGGAAGATGCTATATTTCAGATAACTTTCCTTACAATCAGGC